CAAGCTCTGCCAGAAGCTGGGAAAACAAACTCAAGCTGCTCTGCACCCTGGGCTTGAGACAGCAGCAGGACAGCAGAGATGGGCACAACACTTACGGCAAACCCATCCAGATCCTGGATCCGGAGAGTCTGGTATCTCTGCAATCCAAGCAACAAGCTCAACTTGGAGGGGCTTCATTGGCCCCACAGCAGGCAGAGCCCCATCCCTCTCCTGGGGATCCCTGGAATACCCACCTGGCTTGCCAGGCTCCTCCACCGCCGGGACCTTGCTGCGTGGGCTCTGCGTGACGACCTTCACGGTGTCATCCGACTCCTTGCTCGGCCGACTCGTTGTCAGCTGCTCTGGGATCACCGCGTTTGGATCTGGGAAAGGGGAGGGATGGATGAGAAGCCTTGATCCAGCCTGGAAGGCAACAGCTTGCTCCCCCCTAAAGAAATGCCCCCAATTGTCAGTCACTGCTGTGGGACACAGGAGCCCTGGGAGATGCTGAGAGCAACAGAGCAAGGCTGAGCTGCTCCAGGGCTTGTGGGAAGCGGGTCCCCACCCTAATTCCCTGGTTTGCTGTTTTCAGAGCTCCTGTGCGTGGGCTGGGACAGGTTTCTTGCTCGGGCAGCGGGAGGAAGGGAAGGGCAGGCAGGAGGCCAAGGCTGCAGCACAGCTTTGCCTGTTTATTATAAATATTGGCCCCGACGTGCAAACACAATAATGAGAAGCAGAATCAGGAGCTGCGCATCCGAGTCAGGGCCAAAACGAGCCTGGGGCATTGCTGGGGCTGAGAATCAGCTTGGGATGGAGGTGGTGGGGAGGGGGAGCTCCAGGAGAAGAGCCTGTTGGTGATCTCCCTGGTGCCCCACTACCACCGGAGTCCCCACAGCCTCCACAACTGAGAGCCACCAAGCCCAATCCTAATGCCTGGCCAGCTACAACCCCCTCCTGGATGCTCAGGAAGCCATCGCTGGGACCTTGCGTCTCCTGACCGTCCTGGTTGACAGAGCCTGCAAGGCAAGGGGAGACGGGGGTCAGTGAGGCAGCCAGGTCTGTGCTCTGTCCATGCATGGATCACACCTGTGGAGCAGGGAGATGAGTTTCCCATTGGAGCCCCTCTCTGCCCCCCAAACTTAGAACGTTCTACCGTGTTCCCAAGGAGGGGAGGCCCTCACCTCCAAGGGGATGGCACTTGCTCTGCACTTTCCCATCCCAGTCAGACCCACATATCCCTAGGAAGGGCAGGCAGGGCAGGCAGGAGCCCCAGGCATCCACAGAAAGGGCACCACACACCCTGTCCCCCATCCAGCACCACTGCTCCCCTTGCCATCTTCCAGCCTATGGAGCAGAGTGTTGATCGTGTCCAGGTGACACCATTCCAGACCTGGGGAGCCTTCACTCCCCACTACAGGGTGGGATGCCCTGGTGAACGTGGGCTCTGACACCCAGATCCCCCCAGTCTCCAATTACTGACCCCTGGGCCGGGGCAGCTGCAGTGCCTGCAGGGGCAGTGCTCAGAGGTCGATCCAGGCAGGAAGAAAAGAGAGACTTTTCCCAGCTTCATCTGATTCCACTTTGCTCTCAGAGGGGTCAGGAACTCAGGAAACCACCTTCAAAGGGCTCTCACACCCGAGGACCTCACCTCCTCCAAGCCCTCTCAGATGTACTGTGAGGAACACATGGGAGGAGGAGGAGGAGGAAGAGTGCTGAAACAGCACTTCCTTGCCAAGCTCTGCCAGAAGCTGGGAAAACAAACTCAAGCTGCTCTGCACCCTGGGCTTGAGACAGCAGCAGGACAGCAGAGATGGGCACAACACTTACGGCAAACCCATCCAGATCCTGGATCCGGAGAGTCTGGTATCTCTGCAATCCAAGCAACAAGCTCAACTTGGAGGGGCTTCATTGGCCCCACAGCAGGCAGAGCCCCATCCCTCTCCTGGGGATCCCTGGAATACCCACCTGGCTTGCCAGGCTCCTCCACCGCCGGGACCTTGCTGCGTGGGCTCTGCGTGACGACCTTCACGGTGTCATCCGACTCCTTGCTCGGCCGACTCGTTGTCAGCTGCTCTGGGATCACCGCGTTTGGATCTGGGAAAGGGGAGGGATGGATGAGAAGCCTTGATCCAGCCTGGAAGGCAACAGCTTGCTCCCCCCTAAAGAAATGCCCCCAATTGTCAGTCACTGCTGTGGGACACAGGAGCCCTGGGAGATGCTGAGAGCAACAGAGCAAGGCTGAGCTGCTCCAGGGCTTGTGGGAAGCGGGTCCCCACCCTAATTCCCTGGTTTGCTGTTTTCAGAGCTCCTGTGCGTGGGCTGGGACAGGTTTCTTGCTCGGGCAGCGGGAGGAAGGGAAGGGCAGGCAGGAGGCCAAGGCTGCAGCACAGCTTTGCCTGTTTATTATAAATATTGGCCCCGACGTGCAAACACAATAATGAGAAGCAGAATCAGGAGCTGCGCATCCGAGTCAGGGCCAAAACGAGCCTGGGGCATTGCTGGGGCTGAGAATCAGCTTGGGATGGAGGTGGTGGGGAGGGGGAGCTCCAGGAGAAGAGCCTGTTGGTGATCTCCCTGGTGTCCCACTACCACCGGAGTCCCCACAGCCTCCACAACTGAGAGCCACCAAGCCCAATCCTAATGCCTGGCCAGCTACAACCCCCTCCTGGATGCTCAGGAAGTCACAGGGGCACTGTCTGTGCCAGCCCCCCCGAGGCACTCGCAGGGCTCACGGGTCCTGTGCCGAGCTCACTTCCCGCCGGGATACGGCCCACGAGGTGACCGGGAACAATCGCTCCCTTTCAACCCCAGTGCTCTGCACATGCACCATGTTGGCAAGAGAAAAAAGGCAGGAAGAAAGACCCTAGAAATTAAATTCTGTTGAACTAACCCAGGAGTGCTCCCAGGAGCAGTTGGCCTGGCCTCAGTTTCCCTGGAATCTTGCACTCTCACACCCCGCAAAGGAACAGGGACCCTGGTTCAGGGGGCAGCAGGAGACCCCAGGGGACAGGAGGACTCACCCTGCCCCACTTTCATGACAATCTTCATGGAGCGTGTCTGGCAGACCCCTCCTTCCCGGTTCTCCAGGCCATCCAGCGTGCCGTTGGAAGTGGCTGCAAGAAAAGAGAGGGAATGTTAAGTTCCTAGGAGCTGGAAGGGCACTGCTGAGCAGCTCTTTGCTGTTCCCTGGAATTACTGTGCAGGTCCTCACTGTCCCCTGGCACTACTGAGCAGATCCCAGTTATCCCCTGGCACCTCCTACCCCAGGGATTCACTCCTGACCCCCCATTACAGCCACATCTTCACACCCCAATCCAGAGCCCACCGAATTCCCAGCTCCTGCCCCTTCCAAAGCTGCCTGCAGCAGTAAGGACATGATCCCTGCAGCTTCCTCTCACTGCCACATCCACACAAGTGAGCCATTCTCCACGCCTGCAACCTCCTCCCCCTTTAATTCCTGGATAATTTCCTTTGCTTCTGGTGCAGAATGGGAACACTTGCATATGCACAGTTTAAATTATACATCTCTAATTACACCCTCTGCCTCGGTGAAGAATGTAAACTCAGAGCCCCAGTGGGCTCCGGGGGCTCTAATTGCAGGGCAGAAGTCACTTAAATTCACATTAACTTTTTGCTGGAGCCAGCATGGAGTTTTCAGCCCTTGGATCCCATGGGAACACAGGGAAGGTCCCCCATCCTCCAGCCCTCTGTGGGGTTCAGAGCAGGGGGGACACAAGAGAGAATAAATCCAAACATGAGGATTTCAGGATAAAGCACCTAAATGGCAGATTCTGCTAAACAGACTCAAAAAACTGGTTTCTGACCCAACCACTGGATGTAGCCCCTGTGCCTGGCATGGAGCTGGATCTACCCAAGGACCAGGATGGTTCCCACCCCATCACATCCCTCCATCGTGGCAAACACAAATCATTCCAGTGCTCCATCAAATCCAGCCACAGGGATGAATTCACCCAGGGAAGCAGGGAAACCTGGGAGAAGCTCAGCAACAGCTTAGGGAAGGTAATGCAATGAAGAATCACAGAGTCCAGGGATAATTTTCCAGACACAAGACAGGACTTGGCCAGCACAGCACAGCCAACACCTCCCCGAGCCTCAAGGCCAAAGCTCAGCCCCAGGGTTTCAGGTTCCCTGTGCAATTCCTGCCTCCATCCCGCACAAAAGCAGGTCTGGGAGGGCAGGTGACTGACGGAAATTTGGGATGAATCCATTGGATCCTGCTGGGTGTTGGTGAGGGGACAGGAAGAGGCTGGAGTATGGAGCAAGGTCATCTTTCCACATTCCCCTTCCCACAGCAGGAGGTTGGGTGCCTCCATGAGCCTCCCCACCGGGATACTCTGCAAAGCACACCTGGATCCCGCCAGGAAGCAGGATCCAAGTCCATCAGCTCTTTCCAAACACCTCTGTGCAATCAAGGCTCTCGCCTGAAACCCCAGCAAATGTTTTCCTAATCAGAAAGTCTTTGGGCCATTTGCTGAGTTATCACCTCTCCCACAGCAGGGTCCCCCCTGCCAGCAGCTCCTGGGATGGAGCTGTGCATCCAGCTGGGATGGTGCATCCAGCAGGGATCCGCAGGCGGCCGTTCCAACAGCAGCACTGTCAGCACCAAGCCCCACGCAAATGCCTGGGAATGTGGAGAAACGCCCCTGACAGCCTGCACGAGTTCTCTGGAATCCAAACAGGATGGACCTGAGCTCAGACTCCCCATAAAAACACATCAGGAGCAAACTCCAGCCCGGTTCTCCCAGGCCGGAGGCTCCGGTTTGGGGGTGAAATCAGCAGATCAGCCCAGCTCACAGCCCTGAAGCAGCTCCTTCAACAGTTTCCCAGCTCCACGCCATGGGCTGCTGCATCTTGAAGAGAATCATCCATCGAGGGAAAAGGCAGCAGTCTGTAAAAACCAGTCTGTGTGAGGCCTCATGAGGTCTGATTTATAAATAATTAACTAATTTTAACAAAATGAGGTAACAAGCAAGCGTGGTTCAAGTGGGGAAAACTAGAAGATCCCACAAAGGCAGCAGTTCCTCCAAATAACTATGGAGACATTCCATCCACATACAAAAAAAATATTAAAGGTCCAAAGAGGACAGAGGGAGCAGCTGGAGCCACGGGGATGGACGGAACGACACAGCTGAGCATCCTTCTTCCCACCCCACACTTGGACACAAAGTTTTTTCTTGTTCTGGCCATGGAAATGATGAGGGACAAAGTAGCTTTGAGAGGGAGCCACAAGGAAAAATGAAGCAGTTGCTTGAGGGAACAAAAAAAAAGGAAAAACATTTGTAAAACCCACAGTGATGGTCTTGGAATGGCCTCTGGAAACAAGGACATGAGCTTCCACATTCTGTGTAAATCCAAAACAGGCTGGAGAGAAGCTGGATGCTTCACGCAGCTGGTTGGGCTTCCAAAATCCTAAATCCCCAAATCCATCCAAATGGTGCAGAGTCCAGAGAGTTTGATGTGAACATGTAGGGCAGAGTGATGTGAGAGCAGCAGGTCCCTGATCCATCAGGAAAGGCTCCTCCAGTGCAATTCCCTGTGAAGCTCAGCGATGAAGGGCTGTTCCTCCCACTCTGTTTCCTGCTTTCCCAGCAGAGGACTCCAGGCTCAGCTCAGCCCAGCTCCAGTGGATTCAGACTGGGATCCAGGTGGCACTTGATGGACTCCCCAAGTACCTGTGCCACTCACCGCCACGGTTAGGGTGAGCCATGGTGACACCACCAATCCTCAGCTGCCGATGGAATCCAGAGTCAGCAACCCACAGAGGAAAACGTTAAATCCACAGGCACGGCAGCGGCTGCAGGAGAGCTGGGAGAGCCCCGAGCTGCAGAGAGGCAGCTGCAGGGCAGCAACAGGAGGCAGAGCTGTGACACAATGAAGGAAGCCGGGCAGGGAGCTGGGATTACCCATGGAATAGGAAATGGCAGGTCTCAAACAACACTGTCACCTCCCCATGCCCCACCAGCAAGGCTCAATCCAGCCCCAGCAACGCCGAGTGTACAGGAGCATTTTCCTGCCCTGTTCCGTTTTGGATGGATTCACAGGTTGGCTGTAGGACTGGGAGAGCAAAAATAACCTCTGGCCAGTGACTTCCAAAGGCTGACTTCCAAAGGCCGCTCCCAGCCTGGAGAGCCGTCAGATGCCTCTGCCCTAATGGAGCATTAAGCCCAGGGCTGCTGAGTGATGAGGATTTAACAGTGATACCATTAACCATGTAATTGCTTGTCAATTTAGAGGAGATGCTCAGCCACCATGGAAAGCAGGCAGGACCTCCACTCCTGGAATCCCACACGCCCATCCAGCCCAGTGACAAACACCACAGAGCTGGGACAGATGGCTTAGACCTCCAACAACCCATGGTCCTGTCTCCAAGCCAGCAATGCCATGTGCTGTCCCTGCTGCCTCCCCAGCACCAGCACTCGGTGTCACCACAGCTTCTCTCCCTCCCCTAAAAATATTTCAAAGGAGAACTTGGGTTTTGGCAGATGGGAGATGCTGGAAGTAATACCTGGCAAGAGATGAAGGCAAGGGTCTCTTAAATGGTCAGTCTTGGCCAGAGCGAGATGTTTGGTTTCTCTGCTGGATTCCCTCTAGCAGGACTGCGTTATGATTTCGGCCCCAAAGCACAATTAATGTGCTGAGACTGTAGCGAATCCAAGTCTCTTTCCTTTTATTGCTCTTAATCACTCTTCCATCTGTGCAGCTCAGCCCTGCTCCAGCCCCAGCCAGGCACGGCGTGGCCACAGCCCGGCCACAGTCCCCACCACCCCCCTCACCCCCAGACCTGCACAAGGTTCGTGTTTCCATCACTTCAGGAGAGGTGGCAGCATCCCACTGGTGCCCCACAGCCTGACCCCAATCCTGCTGGAGCCATGGGACCGACCCTGGCAAAGGGCAGCTGGTGCAGAGAGCAGCCTCAGCCCAGCCTGGGCACCCCTGGGCTGGAAGCCCCCCTGGCACAGGTGAAGCCCCTACAGGTCACGCTGGAGATGTGCCTCCCACATCACTGATGTGCTCAGACACTGCCAGAGATCCCTGCAGGAATCCACAAGCAGACTGCACTGCAAATAAAATCCCAGCTCCTGCCGCCTCCCCTCTCCAGACCTTCCAAGCCGTTTTACACCCCCTCGGTACCGACACAGAGGTACACACCAACCACCACAGGCACTGAGCTCCTTCCCCCCCAGCCCAGCCAGCACTGGCACCCCAGGGGCACAGAGCCACTTCCAGGTCACAGAGCAGAGGCACCCGCCTGCTCCACTGCACACCAACTCCCTGGGGCCTCCGGGGAGCATGGCTTGCTTACAGTCCCTGCTCCTCCTCCTCCTCCTCCTCCTGCTGCTCCTCCCAGGCATCAGTGCCACGCAGCTCCGGCTCAGGGCATGCTGTTATTGGTAGTGTTGATATTAATATTGGTGTCACTTCCTAGCCAGCCCCACTGTGGGGACACGAGCCCCCCACCCAGCACACATCCCCCAGCCCCTTCCCTGAGCTCCAGCACATTGGCTGGGGCTGCTGCCAGCACCAGGGCAGGGGCTGTGTGGAGGGAGCCCACCCCACGCTGTCACACTGCCAGAGGAGCCGGCAGCCTTCTCCCAGCCTTCTTCCAGCCTTCTTCCAGCCTTCCCGAGGCAGCTGCACCGGGAAGGGGCCCTGCAGCCCCTGAAATGCCTGTGTGAGCCAGCCCAGCCTTGTCCCATCCCCGCACGGTGCAGGAGGTGCAAGGCTTGGGTTTCACAGCCACTCCTGCCAGCTCCAGAGCTGCTCCAGAGCTGCTCCAGCCACATGGTCCGGCATGGAAAGAGAAGGGACATGGGGGCTGCTCCACCAGCACCACTGACTGAGGGGGGACCACCTCTGCTCTCCTCCCTGGCATCAGGACTGCCAGGCCCATGCCACGAAGCCAGCTGGGATTGCTGTGTCCCTCCCCACAGCTGCACAGGGCAGGTGTGGGGCCTGTCGCTGCAGCCAGCCCATGGAGCACTGGGAATCTGGCCATCCCACCCCACACTCCCTGCTCCAGCAAATAACAGTGGGAAAATCCCCAGTTCAAATGCACTGCTGGAAATAGGAATGAAAGCCACTACATGGGGTT